AAGTAAAGTATAATTAATTATAAGAAATGAGGAGATAAACTAAAATTTGAAATCCTAATTTAACATTTTATTATATAAATTTTTTATAATAAAAATTGAGTGAGGCGGTGGTCCCGTGATATAGAGTGACTCTTATTCTACATACATAAAAAATCGAACTTAAATCGTGTTTAAGCGATATTAAGTTACTTCTCACTTGAAACAACCTCGTTAGTATTGATTTATAAGATTTTTTAAAAATCTAAATTTAGTGAAAAAAAGTAAAAGTGACCTAAGATGTTATTTAATATTTTTATTAAAGTAAGACAAATTATATTTAATAAATAAGTATATTTTTATTTTATGTGGATACAAATTTTAACATTTATCATAAATATAAATATCTCCGCTGCAAAAAGAGATCAACGACACAAAAGAACTTTAAAGGCAAACAGAAAAATCAAATATAGCTTAAAAGACAAAATACTTTAGGCGTTTTTAAAAAAATTGGAACACTACATAAATTATATAAATATAACATGACAAAATAAATATAAACGTTATAAAATCAATATAAAACAGACTAATTTACTTATAAATTGATATTGTATTTATGTTAATTTTTATAATATATTTGAGTTCATATCTCAAATTTGACAATCTTCATCTAAAATTCATGTACGAAGAACGAATCTAAATGAAAATAGATAAAATTTTACCTTTTAAAATTTTATAAAATGAAAAGATACTATTATTGAATCAATTGATCGCCTTCGAATAATATTATTTGATTGAATTAAAATTTTAATTTATTTTGAAGCATAAAGTCAATTTATTTATAAGTAATAATTTTTAATAAATATAAAGTGATTATAAGGTAGTACGTGCTTTAAAAAATCTCGAACAATTTAACGATAAAAACTCACCACTTTTATAGTCTCTGATGCTCAAACTTAAAATCTCTAGAGATAACAATCCTTTAACCAGGGATAACTTAGTTCGTGCATAATAATAATTTTAATTTTAAGATAATTTTGAGTTCACACAAAAATAATAGTTTAAATATTCTGTAATTTTCTCTTTAACGTTATTTTTTTCATCATGTTTAGTTTTAGTTTTAAAATAAATATTTGGCAACGATTCATCCATCGAAAACATCACCTAAATTGATCGGAACACATCAAACTTGACATTTAATATTTTATTAAATTAAATCACTATAAAAATATTATGAATCACGACACATTATTGACATATAAGTTATTTTTAATTGAATCACATGACATTCACTTTACATACAAAATATTACAAATTTTAACTTTTTGCATACTGTGGAAAGATTCCTTTAATAAATATTATCTACGTTGTTTGATTCGTATATGACATAGATCAACTGCACTTCTCATATGTGGGGGCTAAAAACGTGCATTGTCACGGGTCTTGCATATATAAATGCCTTGATTCACCTAACTGCTGGTTAAGATGCTAAAAAAATCCTTAAATTAGTTCACTTGCTTAAATAAATTCAAATACTTTTTAATATGTTTTAACTATTAAAAATATATATACATCATGTTGACGTAATTATTCGAATTCTGAAATTTAATAAATAATTACATTTTTGTATTATTAAGGTCATTCAATGAATTTAAATAAATAGTAATACTTATTTTGTACATAAAGGATGTGATACAACGTGCTAATTCTCTTCGCAATCCTTGAGTAACGCGTTCCCGGGGTTCTCTCTTTGTTCAGTATCCCAACCACATGAAACCTCCAAACCTCTTATCCCTATCTACCTTTGCAAGCTTCGTTGGTGTTGAGAATCTAGGTTACTTCTGGTAGTCTTCTCCACTTTACCCAACGAGGTTCCTTGGTAATATTTCTACTTTTCAATTTCGTTACTGCTTTTATATCTCCATCCATGTTAATACTTGATTATACTCAAACAAACCTCGAATGATCTGTACTTGATTAATCTCCATTTCAACTTAAAGATTGACTTGATTAATCTCCTATTCAACTTAAAGATTGATTTACAATAACGCTTCAACCGGATGTAATAACCTAAAATATTAAAAGCCTTTTTACGTACAAGCTAAAATATATTCAAATTGCAACTATTCTTATTGAAATAAAAAATATTCAAAAGTATAATAAAAGTTTACGACAAACATTGCAAGCTAAATACATAACTTCAACATTATTCTATTACAATAAAACAAGAAACTATCCGTTTTAGATCATACAACGATCATACATGGAAAATGTTAAAAATCCAACCAAAAGACTCAAACGGTAAATAGATACGAACAAATTTGACTACATCAAAAACGAACTACAAAAGGGGATTAAGCTATTGAACGACTACTGAGAATTGTAAATCAGAGTCGTGAGAAACTATCCAAAAATGCAAAATCGTGTATCCAAATTCAATATGAGGGTCCAAAGCATGAAAGATCATCAGTATTATAATTAAGAGCTATTTTGATCAGTCGCGATGTCATCAAATTTAACACTGAAAAAAATACTAAATAAAAAGAACGGTCAAACAAACGAGAAAGGAGACAAAAACATGCCACAAGGTTAGAGGAAATATGACATAAAAATATAATTATTCTTATTAAAAAGTGTAAAAAAAAAAAAGAAAGAAAATAAAATGAGAGTTAACGATGGACGATCAATATCAAAATCGGTACCGCCATGGATTAAATAAACTTTAATAAGGAAAAATTGATTTAACCTATGGACAATATTATGAATCAAATTGCTTATTTGTGTGTGATACAATTAGTAATAAATTTTAAAGATTTTTTTTTGTTAGTTGAACAATAAATACATGATGACTTTTTGGTATCATTCATAACTTTCTATTTTGTATTTTTGTTGACGGGTACGACATTTTTTAAAAAAAAATGTGATTAATGGATCTTTCATTTTGGGTAAAGCATATAAATAGTCACTAGAATTTTCCTGAAATTATTTTTTAATTATTAAAATATTAAAAATTATAAAATGATCATTAATTTTTATCAAATTATTATAAAATAATTATTAAATTTATCAAACTGTTATAAAACAATCTTTAAACTTATCAAAATTTATCATTATTTTATAATGTATGGTAACTCTTTTTATTAGTTCGATAAATTGGATTATCATTCTATAATTTGTAAAATATAAGGACAAAAAATTATTATGACATGATTTAATGACTATTTACATATTTTATCCATATGTTTATCTTTAAAAAAAGTTAAGCAGGCGCTATGCACCAAACAATTCCTTGTGAAATTGTGTTACAACTTATTGTTTTGCAACAAATGAGAAGGTAATTTATTGTCTAAATATAGACATTTTTTATGTGCGGTTGAAATAAATATTAAGGGAAGTGTTATTAATTATTTAAGTGTGATTTTTTTTGTAATACTTAAACTTAGTTAGGATTTTATGACCGAATCTTGAAAGTTACATTGATCACCGAATTGATTCATAAATCAATTCAAAAACTTTTAACGGTAATAAAATCAGTTCAAAACATTTATTCAACTTTTATTCTATTAACAGAAAACAATTTAATAATAAGTAAATAAAAATCAAAATTCTGATTTCCAAGATGTCGATCCGATCCTAACGTCCTGAAACATTTGAAAGGAAGAAATAAAGAGATGAGCTATAGAGCTCAATGCAGTCAAAATGTACAGATAAATAAAATATTCAAAAAATCAATCAAGCATACAAAACTAATTTTGAAATACAGACAAACCATAATGCAAACACGAGCTAATAAACTTTTAACTAACTAACCATCCGCTAAGCTTTACAGGACGAGTTCCACATAGTTCGTAATCAATCGAAAGCCAAACAAGATGTGATAAATCGTATAAACAAGAGTGGTGACCGTTCAAATTAAAAAAAAATGTGGGAACTGTATAACAAATACACCAGTAGCAGTAAACTACTAAATAGGAGTTGTGGACCACTAACTTCCTCCTTCACATCCCGACCTATGAAACTAGACAAGTAACATGCTTATACAGATTACAAAACAACACAAGGCATGTGATACAGAAATCAAAGTATTTTCAGAAGCACATACAATTACACATAGTCATAGTACATGAAACATGTTATTCAAACACCTCATAGGTAATTCAGAAAACAACACCATAATATCAATCAATATTTATTTAATTTTCGATTTAATAAAAGATTATTAAACAAAATTTAAAACAATTGTAATACGATAAGACACGCACCTATTTAGCAAAAAAAATCGTTATTACGGTGTTGTTTATGAGTTACCAATTCAGGAAAAAAAACTATTAAACATAATTTAAAAAATATTAATGGATAATATTTATTTAAAAAAATTTAATCATTAACCAGACACGTTCTTTTATCATAATTATTCAAATGTAATATCTCAGTAAAAAAAAATAGTACTACGTTTTACAGCTGCAGACTAATCAACTTGAGAAGGGTTTTCGGTACAAAATACCTTCCAACTGCTTTTTTTATATGTAAAACGTATCTGGCCGATCATTGTTTCTAAAAGTGATGTTATGTCGGTTGATGATCTGCAAAAATAAATGGTATAACCGTACATATATTTTTGGATGGTGTGGTAAGCAAGACAAAAGCCGCGGGGAAAGGGAAATTGCGAACTAATTACCGTATTCCTTTCCTGGGCAAATTTGAACAATTAACTGTTCGGACGATTTCTGCCTTCCTCTGATCGTCATATTTATGATATGATTAAAAATTATGTAAACCAGTAATATATATATATATATATATATATATATATATATATATATATATAGATGTATAAGAAAATATCAAAGTTAGTTATGATTATATTATTACTATATAATTATAAAAAATTATGCTAATTAATTAAGTTTTTTCAAGCTACCAATTAACCGTATATGTACAGTAGTAACATGGGTTGCGGAAGAAAGTGGGATTCGTTTTTGGAAGTATTATTATCTCATTAATATTCATTCATCCAGCCATAAAACGATCAGGAAAGAATCCTGACAATGGCAACTGGCATCCACCATACATCACTTCATTGCAAACAAAACCCTATATGAATATCAACAACAATAATCTCTAATTCCATACAATTTCCCTGAAGATCAATTAATATTTTCTCTGAATACAATCAACCAAACTTATAACTGATAGGAAAAACCATGGATTCCCAACAGGAGCTTAATCAGCCAATCCTGAATAATTCCACGCATGATGATGATCATCAGCAACAGCCGACCTCACACAGCTCATCAGGAACTTGTCATGGCCATGAAGTCGATCCCAGGCTCGAGGAAGTTTTGTCAGACACGGAGCTGCCTTTCTTCAAGCGTCTCCGATTGGCTTCGTTGATTGAAATGAAGTTGCTTTTCAGCCTGGCGGCACCGGCGGTCTTCGTGTATTTGATCAATAACGCCATGTCCTTATCCACTCGTGTCTTTTGTGGTCATCTAGGCAATCTTGAGCTCGCCGCTGCCTCGCTTGGCAACAGCGGTATTCAACTCCTTGCTTATGGCCTCATGGTACTAAAATTTAACCTACTCTATTCTTGACATGGACCCGTCACTTTATCTAACTAGGCTAGGGTAACTAACGTTTTGCAGCTAGGAATGGGGAGTGCTGTAGAGACCCTATGCGGACAAGCTTATGGGGCGCTTAGATACGACATGTTAGGGGTTTATCTTCAGAGATCAACCATTGTCCTTACGTTGACAGGGATTCCACTGATGTTGGTCTATGTGTTTTCTAAGCCAATCTTGATCTTGCTAGGCGAACCTGCGGAAGTTGCGTCTGCGGCTGCCGTTTTTGTCTATGGTTTGATCCCACAAATCTTTTCTTACGCTGTGAACTTTCCCATACAAAAGTTTCTTCAATCCCAAAGTATTGTGATTCCGAGTGCATACATATCAGCTGCCACACTTGTGGTGCACCTTTTGCTAAGTTGGTTGGCAGTATACAAGATTGGTATGGGGTTGATAGGTGCTTCTCTGGTGCTCAGCTTGTCGTGGTGGATAATTGTGGTGGCCCAGATGGTGTATATCAAGACGAGCGACAAGTGTAAGCTTACATGGTCTGGGCTGAGTTTGAAGGCCTTTTCTGGGCTGTGGGACTTCTTGAAACTATCGGCTGCTTCCGCCGTCATGCTGTGCTTGGAGACTTGGTACTTTCAGATACTTGTTTTGATCGCTGGTTTGTTGGAGAATCCTGAGCTTGCACTGGACTCCCTTTCTATTTGGTAAGATACCTGGAAAGTCTATTCCTTGATATTACCAAAATGATCGTATCATTCAGAAAATCCAGTGACTCCAATTACACAGACATTATAGCTAGTGATAACGGTTCATTTGTCTTTTACTTCAACTTGTTAACCACAGTCGTTATAGCTAGTAATTTTCTTTTAGTTTAGCTTGTTAATCAAGTTTCCAAATAAAGAACATAATGAAACAACAGTACATGAAGTAAGGAAGTGGAACGCCTTCTCACCGAAGAGTGAAAAAGAAGGAATAGTAGAAGCGTAAACCTAAACATTTTTACCGCCAAAGGATTATATGGTATTTTCTCTGTTACACTAAATTCCATGAAATTTATTACGTCGTGAAACACAGCCTAATCATTTTTCCACTTTTCCTATCGCTTCTACGTTTTTAATTTGGTCATTTGCTATGGGTGCAGCATGGCTATAAATGGGTTGATGTTCATGATTTCAGTTGGGTTCAATGCAGCTGCAAGGTTCGTCACGCTTTTACAACCCCATTAGAAAAATAACAATCAATAAGTAGTCCCTTTAATATCACTCAAATATTGCAAGTGTTTCTGTTGCCGTTAAAACAGTGTTAGGGTCAGCAACGAGCTGGGAGCGGAACATCCCAAGTCGGCGGCATTCACGGTTACGGTTGTGACTTTGGTTTCCTTCATCATTGCTGTTGTGGAAGCTATCATCGTTTTAGCTCTACGAGATGTTATAAGCTATGCATTTACCGAAGGCGAGACGGTGGCCAATGCAGTGTCGGAGCTCTGCCCATTCTTGGCTGTTACTCTTATTCTTAATGGGATTCAACCTGTTTTGTCTGGTAAGAAAATCCCCATGCTTCAGATTCGAGGTTACAAGTTTGGGAAAATGAAACGAGAATCTGATGTATGCAGGGGTGGCTGTTGGATGTGGATGGCAAGCATTTGTAGCCTATGTAAACGTGGGATGCTATTACGTTGTTGGGATCCCAGTGGGATGTGTTCTTGGCTTTAAGTACAACCTGGGTGCAAAGGTAAAGTCTTGCTTGAATTAAGGCACTCGGTAAATAAAATAATCTTTTTCTGCGTCTTTGAGCAGGGAATATGGTCCGGGATGATAGGAGGAACAATGATGCAAACCCTCATCTTATTATGGGTTACATTCACAACAGATTGGAATAGAGAGGCAAGTCCTTTCGAAACATTCGAATTCGATCGTCTAAATTTGTTTACAAACTATGTCCCCTCGTAATTGATGAACCACCTACCGAAATTTCAGGTGGAGAATGCCAGGTGGCGGCTAGACATATGGGAAGACAAGAAGCCACCTCATCAAGCTTTGCAATAACTCTCCACCCACCACAAACTATATTGACAACCAATAGGCGTCCCCCACAATTGGGACGACCCCATAAATACAATTAAACCTACCAAGACATGGTGCTCCTACTACCATCAAATGGTTTGTTTACCAGCTACGAGCAGTTCTGATGATTTTTTTTTCATGTGCCATATAACCTTTTGAAATAAGGTAAAATAAACTATGTTCCCTGTTCGGTTTTTCTGTATAAACTTCTTCCTGCTATTTGGAATTTGGATGCAAATTACTTAACAAAACAGTCCAAGTGGCATGCGTAGTCATGTAAACCAACTCAACTTTTAGTTAATCGTTTTACGGAAAGTTTGTTTATGTTCGTTTATTTATTAAACGAACGAACATGAGCAAGATGTTATTTTCGTTTAATTAAATGAACGAACACGAACAAAAGGTTCGTTTGTTCATTTACGTTAGTCAATGTTAGAGAACCGTTTGTTTATCTTCGTTCATTTATGTTCGTTTGTTTATGTTCTTCAGACTCGTTTAAAATATAAAGACTTAATAAATTTTAACCTTAAAGTCATTAATATTTTAAAACTCAATTAATTTTAAACCTAAATAAAAAAATACTCAAATCAATTAAAGAAAATATAAATCTTAAAATTATTTGAAAAGAAACAAAATTCTTCTCAAATATAAACTCAATTAATTTTATATTCATTGTTTGTATTTGTATATCATTCAAACAAATGAACATGAACATACATGAACAAATTAAATTTCTTAATGAATGAATACAAACAAGAAATTTTGTTCGTTTAGTTGTTCATGTTCATTCATTTGTTCGGTTAAATTTAAATGAAAGAACATGAACATATCATCGTTCATATTCATTCGGTTATTTACATGACTAGGCATCCGGATTTTAACTTTTTCCATTTTTTTTTTGGAACTCACAAATTAATTAAAACTAATTTTAACAATAGTTAATGCAATTTAAAAATAAAATTAATTAACTAAAATTTTAATGTTTAATATATATATCTCTAATCCAATATCCAATAATGTTCAAGCCCACAAATTTTAATACCCAAATTTAAGATTTCAAACCCAACAGAATCAACTGAAAGGGAAAAAATATATAATTTGGAACTTATTTTGTTTTTATCGGGATAAGAATGAAATTTCTTTCCATCCAAAGCAATTTAACTGCTACAATGTACAGCAACCGTAAAGAACAACTAAAACAGCTCTTAAAAAACAATTAAAGGATACAAGAGAACTATCTACAATCAGTAACTCTCTAATCTACACAAAGATACATAGTTCCATGATCCACTGGATTAATAATTTTCCCAAGTAATTTGATTTGCACAACTTCTTTAACTTCCTTCCCCATATCATTTACAGAGAAAACAACACCATAAAAATCCCATCAGATCATCAACAAAGTAAAGATGATTTAGTTTTTACCTTTGCACATTTAGCATGAAATTTAAAAATCCCTTGAACGACAACACAATAAAACAACTTCGAGAGAAAATCCATCACTATGGCAAATAGGTATGGAGAGAGTGGATCTCCCTACCTAATGACCGTGGCACCTTTAAAGTATTTTACAATCATCCAATGAGTGAAATTGAAAACCTAGAAGTGATACATGGCTCAATCCACTGAATCATCTTACTAGGAAATCCCGTTACAATAAGTATATTGAGAATAAAAGATCTACTGATCGAATCGAAAACTTTTTGTCAATCTACTTTAAGAGTACACTTAGGGAATAATTGTTTTTTAAAATATTTTAAGTAGTTCATGAGCTAACAAATAATTATTGGTGATTTTTCCCCTGAATAAAAGTTGAATGACTTGGAGAAACTAAGTCTAACAGAAACCAAGTAATCATTCTTACCATCATCTTTGTTACACATTCATAGATTGTGGAGTTGCACGAAATTGGCTGAAAATCTTTGAGTTTATCAGGATTTTGACACTTGAAACCAAGAATTAAATGCAGGAAGGATGTTGGATGTTCTGAAGAAATATTGGATGGCAATAGTCATACTATCTGCAACAATACTCCAAGCAGCCTTGAAGAACCCTGCAGTAAATTCATCAGGCTTAGTGGCAGAAGCGGAACGATTTGGGAGGATCATGACCAATGAATTTGGGAATATTATCATTAAACTCCTTGAACTTTTAAAACTTTTATTTGATCCCTAAAATTGTTTTTAATTTTATCTTCTTAAAATGGTTAAAACTTCACATCAATAGATATATACTTATATCCCTTATTATCAAATATATGTATATATATAATTAATTAAATTAACATTTTTCATAATATAACTTAGTTTTCTATCTATAGAAATCACACACATATAAATTTAAAGTTATTATTAAACTATTAATTTATCCGACAAGTAAAACTCCACGCCTAATAACAAATTAATAAATAGGCTTAAGTATACAAAAGGTGCCCAATTTATGTCAGTTTTTTTAATTTAGTGTCTAACGTTTATTTAGTTCCAGTATGATGGCTAACGTTTCATTCTATTTCTTAAAATAGGTAAAGTCGTGACGGACAGTTAAGTTTGACCGTTAACCTATTAAAAATGTCACCTAACATATTTTTTAATATTAAAAAAAAGGCTCGTCGTGCTATGAACATCGTTGCTCTCCCTTCTTCCTCCTTAATGAGGTTGCTGAGCTCAATTATTCAAAATGTCAAAATGGGAACGAGTTGTGCATGAAGGCAGAAAGTAGTGAGAGTGGTTCTAGGAATGAAAAGAAATGATGGTGACAGTACACCAAACAGGAAAAGTATGGATCATTTGATTGGTGGCATTGTGGACATCCAATGTATTGATGGGAACCAGAAATTAAAGTAAGCACAAGAAAAAGTCTTCATCTCAAAATGAATTGGATGGCCTTGATTCGTCGAGAAGGGATTCTGGAACTGGACGAATTTTGATACCGGCAACTTCTAGTTCTTCAAAGGTTTCCGGTTCTCGTAAAACCAGAGGAAATTTTGAAGAAGCAAGGGGTTCACCGGTTGAATCAGTGTCTTCATCACCAATGAGGACTTCATATCCAGAAAAGCTTGCATCAACTACTGGTTCAGGGAAGGATGCTGAAAATTGTGGCATTCCTTCAAGTGGCAAGTGGCAATCTTGGAAGATGTAGGAATGGAGAAGCCACTTTTGAGCTTGCTCAATCTGGTGTAGAAACGAAAGAGAAAGTGTCAGTTGATTTTAACCCTGGATCCCATAAATCTTCTGCCTTGGCTTATGGGGATAAAGATTCTCTTTGCAAAATCAGCATTAGGAGTAAACCTTCTTCTTGGTTGGGGAATAGCCATGTGCTCAATGTTGATTCCCATTCTGCTGAAAATGCGAAGCATACTGTAGAACGTTCCCATAGTGAGGATAGATTGAACAAGGAGTGTGGTGGCAATGCATTATCTTCTCATAAATATAAGAAGGTTTCTACTTCACAGACAAAAGACAATAAAAGAAGTTCTGCTGCAGATAAGATGAAACGTAGCGAGGACGAGAAGAACTATTCTGGTAGGTGGAATCCTTCAGGACAACCATCAAGTGGTAGTAGAATGGGGACACAGTCGAATAAAAAGCATGATGAATTCGATGAAAAATCTGCTGCTCCATGCAGAAGGGGAACAATGTCCCTGAGCAAATGTGATCCAGGATTTTGGCGGTCAAACTAAAGTAATGCGAGTAGAGGTAAGAAGAGGAATGCCAAAATCATCCTTGCATTCTGAAACTGAAAGTTGGCGAGAGAAAAAAGGTCATCGAACAGTACCAGAAGCAGAACAGGGAGTTGTCAGGTGGGAACTGGGTTTTGAAGAATTGAGCTCAACAACCTCATTAAGGGGGAAGAAGGGAGAGCAACGATGACTAGAGCACGGCGAGATTTTTTTAATATTAAAAAAATATGTGAGGAGGCATTTTTAATGAATTAATGGCCGTCAAGGTTTGACCTAGTTTGAGTAACGGAATGAAATGCTAGGCACTAAACTAGAACAAAATAAACGTTAGACACTAAACTAGAAAAACGTAAATATATCGAATACATTTTGTATACTTAAGCCTAATAAATATAATTGATATACACACACAAACTTAGGCAAAATTAGCACAATAATGTTGACGTCAAAAATAATTTAAAATATATGTGGTAAAAAATTATTTAGTGATCTATAGTATTTGCTACAATGATTTAGAACTTGTCACTCTTTCATGACATTCGTGACAAATTTAATAAAAAAATATATTTTATGGTTTCATCTATGAAATTTGTCGTACTCTTGTGACGAATTATAATAAAAATATAATTAATTGAAACTCGTGATCTCTCAAATGTAAATTATTACAACAAATATCATAGATCCCTAAATAATTTTTCACTCGCCGCAATTTCCTAATTTTTTGTCCTCCCACAATATTTTTCTAATTTTTCCTAAAATCTTAACCTTTTTTTCTACGTTATTATTTCAATATTATTTATTATTAATTCGCAAATCCTGACTCCCTTTATTTTCCTATTTCTATAATTTATTCAATAAAAATAAAAGAATAAAGTTTAATTCAGTAGCAAGCACTTCATTATAAGCCCAACAACAACATCAGTCAGGTGTACCTAAGAGAAAACCAAATCACTTGTTCAGTAATTGGATCGTAAGAATCCAACTTCTCACTATGGATTTAATAGAAGAGAAAATAACCTCAGTGACCAAAAATCCCATATAATATATGATTTTAACCAATTTTTTTCGGATTTGCCAAAATGACCAACAAAATCGCAATGCGATCGCTAATTCGCAACGCGATCTCCATTATCGCAAATTCGCGTTGTATTTTCGCAATGCGATAGTTGAAAATCGCGTTGCGATGGTCTACAATATCGTTGCGATTTTCCCAATTCGCAATGCGAATAAGTAAATCGCAACGCGAATTGGGAAAATCGCAATGCGAATAAGTAAATCGCAACGCGAATTGGGAAAATCGCAATGCGATACTTACTATCGCAATGCGATAATACAAAATCGCAACGAGATACTTACTTTCGCAACGCGATACTGACTTTCGCAATGCGATTTACATAATCGCAATGCGATTTTCAAAGCGCCATTAGTATCCTGGCCAAGTATTTTATTTTTAAATTCCAAACATGAATATTAATATATTGGAACACTGAACTGTCCACAGTATATCCCGTAATCGCAACTCATAACCTAAAACCTAAAATCAC